ATTCTTCTGCTTGGAGGTTGAGTTCTGCAGGTTCATTATTTTTACATGTCATTATTGGTCAATCTTTATGCCTCTACTTGTTCCTGTACCAAATGGACACTCATTCCGGAATTTACTGGTTTTGGCATTGCAAATCCAGCACTCTCAGGAAGCCTATTTTTCTCTCATTGTTCACTGAGGTTCTCTGTGCTTTAAGTGTTATCTCATTCATCTCTTAATCTGTCAGTATGGTTGTTTGAAAACAATCCTAAGCTTGAACGTAGAGGAGACCATCAAGGATCATGTTGTACTGTTAGGATATTATGATCTGTTTATGCAGCTGGTCGCATACATTCTCCCTTGCATCATGCTTCTTGATTTCTCTGTCTATAAGGTCCTTCTACCCATCATCCGAGGTTCATTTTCTTGCCATTGCAGATTATTCGATATTCATTCTTCGGCATGAAGGAAGCCTTTGGTGCAACACCTTCATTTCTTTTGTGGCTCAGGTTAACTAAATCTGTGTATTATTGGATTCCTATTAATTGGAAACCGGAAGGTAGTGGAGGCTTATTTTGATCTGCTTTTTTTGCTGTGTGCAGGTACAGCACTTTTTTGGTGATGTATCCCATTGGTATCAGCAGTGAAGTTGGTCTCATTTATCTTGCCTTGCCTCACATAAAGGTTAACCAATTCTCATGTTGAATCTCTTTGGGTCTTGCACAAATTAAATGGCTGACTTTTGTGAAGTAAGAACACTGCAGTTAGGCTTCCTGAATAAATGCTTAGATAAAAGCTTGCTGGTGTTTTTTTGGCAGGTGTCTGAAAAATTCTGCATAAGGATGCCCAACAAATGGAACTTCTCCTTAGACAACTTCTACATCGCTTTCATTGCTCTTGGAATCTACGTCCCAGGCATGACATTGTTGATCTGTGACCTTGTTCATATTTGATTGGTAGTTAAGTATTACGTTTAGATATGACCTGATTCGGTTTTTTTCTTCTTCTGCTTCTTATGGTTGCAGGTTCTCCCCACATGTACAGGTACATGCTTAGCCAAAGGAAGAAGGCTCTCTCGAAATCAAAGAGGGAATAGAATATGGCTTCCAGAAGATTGAAGTGTGGTTCATTCATATTATTGGGGCTAAAGTAGCTTTTGGTTGATTGACCTTATTCGGTTCAGAGTTGATGTAATAGTGTCTAGTGTAAGCATGGATGATCGAACACTTGAAAAACTTAATTAATAGTGGTTGCACCTGTTTTCCAACGGTTCCACACGCACCATCTTTTGATTTCCTTTGAGAGCTTGTTCCGTGTCGCAAGCTTTTTACCCTACATGTTCATACTTATGGATAGCAGGTGTAAGCTGATTATAGTCAAACGGAGGAGAAAGGGAAACGTCGGAGAAGAACTAGACCACATTCACAACTCAACTGGACCACATTCACAACTCACAAGGCCCAGTGTATAACCTAATAAGAATTCGCTAGACCACATTCACAACTCACAAGGTTGGCTTCGGATCCCTTCGGTAACTATCAGGTGAGTAACCCCATGTATAACCCAATAAGAATCCGCCACATCAACGCCTCCTTCTCTCTCCTCGAAAAATCTTTCATTTTCCTTCCATTAATCTTTAACGGACGATTTCTCACTCGTTTTAACTTGGATTTTTTTTTTTGCATAGTTAGATCAGATTAATTGTGCTCTTCAAAATGATATACACTTTGATATTTTTTGGAACAAAAAAAATTTGCCAGTTATTACCAGTCTATATCATATGATATTGATTGTACCATATTGTATTGACTGGTATTAAATAACAGCATACCATATGGTATGAAAATACCATCCCATACCAGGGTGGTATAGTATGGTATGGAGTTGGTAACGAGAGATATGAAATTTTTTCACCCAGAAAATTTTGAAATCCAATAGATCATGATTAAATCGTTCTTTCTATGCAAAAATTTCCGAAAACGACTAAATAATGAAGGAGATACCATATGGTATGAAGTTGGTAACGAGAGGTATGAAATTTTTTTCTAAAAAAATATTGAAAATTGATATAATTTTGTAGAGCACAACGAACTCGTTCCATCAGTGCAAAAAAAAAAAAAAATCCGAGTTAGAATGAAGAAGATATGATCCAATAAAAAAAACTAAGGAAAATAAATTCATTTAAATCTTCACACTTAGATCTGCAGCCACTTAAAAAAATGGTCCAGATTTGATTACTCATATTTACTCACCCTATCTTGAGCCCACAAGATTGGTCACATGTTGGACTTGTCCATTTGCATACTTAATGAATCCAGTTCACAGAAAACACATATTGGACTTGTACATGAATCCCAATTGAAGGGAAAAAGGTAACTTTTAAACTATATTAATTACACGGAAATTTCATTATTGTGCTTAAAAGAATTGGGTAGAGTAGGGCTGCTAATAGCTAGTATGGTGTTAATACTAGCTCTAATCAATCTATATATAAAAAAAATACTAGCTCTAATCAATGGAAATATTTTTTTTTTATAAGCAGATCAATGGAAATATTTCATTTCCATGTATATTTTATTTTAAGGGATTGACCACAATGAATACAAGTTTATAAAAATATGTACATGCTTGTCATTATTAAAAATTGGGAGAGGAGAGACACAAGGGCCTGGTGTTGTGCATTAATTTTGCCTCACCACAAGTGTCATGAAGCATACGAGAAAATGCAGACTAGAAAGTGGAAACACAACAAACCGCTTCACAAAATACTAAGAAGCATGTCAGAAAGCTTATAAAGCATACAAGAACCTCATGATCGTGCTCCGATGCGCGATCGAGCTTTAAATTTATAGTGGAAGCACACTCTCTAATCAATCCTAACTAAGCCAAGTATAACCTAGCTAGGATTGGAGTAAAGTGGCTGGGTCGTATTCCAAGGGATCCCAAAGTGTATTATTACTTCGCTCCGAACTACCATCTAATCGGGATGGAAGTTTGGTGAGAGGTTTTAGCTAAATTAACCTACTCCTAAGGCAAAATAAAGAACCAACCAAAGCGTTGGGAGAACGCTAGAGATGAGATGGTTGCCTAGGGTAGAATCCTCCTAGATAAGGTTGTAAAGTAGGGTTAATCGAATGTGGTGAGTGAGCTCTTTTACGTGGGCTTTCGTGGTTATCCACACTCCTCCGAGTACGCCTACCTTAAACCCATGTTCCAGTCACCTCGATCTAGACTATCGTATCTGGGGAATTAAGCTTATGACTCATTTCAATAGACACTATCCACCGTCCACACCTAGGTTTCATCCCGGGTTCCATCTAGGAAGGCTACCTATAGCAAGGGTTCGGTCGACTCGATCACTATAGGCCCCCAAGCACACATATAACCTAAACTCGCCAGATGGCGCATACCCGTCTAACCCTAGAACTCCATACGCAGCGCGGTAGCATAAAGTAGGCTAAGAGGGAAGATTATGGTGACTTACCCAAGCATCATCATTTATGAAAGAATGGCATTAAAATCAACTAGACAAACACTTTCATTCATTCAAAACCCAAACATTCACAACCTATAACTAGGGTTCATCTACCCTAAACAGCCATTAGAGATTCAAATCATTAGAGAGAAGAAGAAAATGCAAACTAGAAAAGGGGAATGATGGAATCAAGTTCTTCTCCTTGCTTGCACATTCTCCTTGCTCTAGGGTTGAATGGATCTTCAATGAAACTCTCTCAAGACGTTTCTCTCTCTAAAGCACTCCAAAACCCCAATTTTCTCACCCCAAGGCGACTCTCCCTTGAAAAGTGCAACAAAAGGGGTATTTATAGAAAGCTGATGGCGGTCAAGGCCTCTAGGGCATGACCCGATGGTCACGGTCGTGACCAGGACGTGACCAAGTGGAACGTCTTCGAATCGCTCGAAATGACGCGTTTTTGTCCCGTCTTTAAGCTCCGAGATCGCGGGTTCCTTCATAAGATTGCGCCTGTGATATTTTTGTCCCAGGCGCAATCTTTTTCGCGGTAAAAATACGCCATGCCCGCGATTCGATTAAGGAACATTCTGGTTCTTCTTGGTCGCCTTCTGACGTTCGTGGCCACTAATTGGGGCCATGATCTGAGGTCGCAATCATCGTCACGTCTTGGTCAAGGGCAGTGACCTATGGCTGTTACCAGTGCTTTTTCTCCCTTTTTGCTCTTATGCTTCCCAATCGTGCCCTAATGAACTCCAATCTATTCCCGATCAATCCCAAATGGATATAAGACCTGGAATTCAATAACAAACACTTGGGAAAGCATAAAATACCACAAATTGGGGTCAGTTCCCCTACGAAAAGCTTTGTATCAAGAATACCTATGCCAAAATGCATGTTTTGCAAATAGGAATGGAAACGGGCATAAATAACTCGATATGTGGCTTGGACACAGTGATTTAGCATACAAATGCCTTGAGAATAGAGGCTAGATAACACCTATTTTAGGTGTTATCACCTCACCGCACCACGTAATTCATAAATCATATAAGAAAACTAATAAAGCATACCAAAACCTTACCACTTTATAAATACCAGAAAGATTATAAAGCATACTACAAGTTTATTAAAACACACCAAAAGTTTCATGAAGGAGACTAGAAACCTCATAAAACATACCATAAGCTCATTAAAACATACTATAAATTTATTAAAGCACTCCACAATTTATTATAACAGACCACAAGTTCCTTAAAGCATACCAGAAACCTCATCAAGCAGACCACAAGTTTCTTAAAGCAGGTAATAAATTTCATAAAGCATACCACAAGTTTATTAAAGTATACTACAAGTTTCTTAAAGTAAATTAGAAACCTAAAAAATATACCACATGTTTCTTAAAATAGACTAGAAACTTTAAAAACTTGGACCTATTTGTAAAATTTTAAAAGTATCACAATGTAAGAAATTAATTTTTTAGGTAGATTGCGCTTGATTGTGCTTGTTTTGTCATATTTCTGGTCCTAGTACGCGTGGGAAGGTCGATGACGAGTTTTGAGACTATTGGAGTCGATAAAGCACCAAAAAGTGAAGAACAGTCCAATGTCACGGGCAGAATAAAAATGTCACGGTCATAAGACTGTGACAATTTCTCTTTGGACGTGACATTGTTAGCTTCCAGAGCCTTTTCAGAGGTTACTGACGCCCGAGTGGTTCACGGTATGTTGATTGTGAAAATCATCCGTTGACCATGAAGATGGACCAAAACGACACCACTGACTAGGGAGCGGTTAGCATGCTAACCCCATAAAGGGGTTTGAAAAATGACACCCCTGTCATTTAATGCATCTTTATCAAATTTAAAACTCATTGAAACTCCTATTAATTACTTACTTTTTTAATTTTTTTTGATAACCCAGGAATCTCAACCCCACATGCCACTTGATGACTGCATGATCTACTAAACCTGGGGAGCACCTATACAAGACACAACATAGGGAGACTTCGTCCCCGGCACTCAGGCATGCCTCCGGGAACACACAAACGGCGCCGCTGGGGATCGAACTCAGGACCTCTCACATCCTGAGCCAACCAAACCAACGGTTTCCCCGCTAGGCTATATTAACTTTGGCACTTTTTAAAAATTTAAACCTACACTAAATACAATTTTCTCTCTCTCTTTGATTTTTCTTTTCAAATTAGCCTCCGACCGCCACACTTCGCCGGTGAAATCCAGCCGACAGACTCTCCGACCACCTGCAAAAATATACCACTACATTAAAAAAATGTACTATTACACTGATATGTTGTACGAATGCACTGGTATTTGTACCATTGCATTGGTATTTGTACCATTGCACTAATACTCACATCTGACATTTGTACCAGTGCACTGGTATTTGTACCACTGGACTAATACTCACATCTGCCATTAGTACCTGTGCAGTGATATCGCTACTAGTGCAGTGGTATCGCTACCAGTGCACTGGTACATATACCATATTATGAGTTTAAGTGCAGTGGTACAAAAATCAAATATGGAAATCAAAAGTCAGACCTGGAAATTAAAAACTCACCGGGAGAGAGGTTTGGTGGAGAATGGCGGTACAGCGACGGGGGATGGTGGC